TATCAGAAAGAAGAACCTTGGCAAAGAAACAGAGTGAGAAGAGATGCTAAGGGTCAAGATTGAGAACAACTAGCAATTTACTAAGCTGAAAAGCAAAGCCAGAGCCCAGTAAAGCTCCATATTATACATTTAGAGCTAAGAAGCCTTATGCTTGATTGCTACAGCTGCTTCTACCCAAAATTTTATGTGGGTCACCAGCCTTCTGGGACACTTCCTGTGGTAGCCTGGTGGCCTTTTGCACTTTGCTCAGGAGTGCTTGTCAATAGGATGTCAGGAAAACCAAAGTAGACACTTGAGCTCAGATCTCAGTGACTTTTGATGGGACTGACTGAACTTTGTGCTTTTAAAAATCCACCCCTTGTTCTCTGCCTCACTCATTATCACTTCACTTAATGTCATGGCAAAAGAAGGGTAATGATTCTTTTTTTGCAGCTGTAACTAAAATACTGCTAGAGTAGAGGGTATGTGTTGGCCAAGGTCTTTATTATGCAACTGTATGCAGATCACTGTGAATTGCATCGTCCATCTAGTTCAGTGATGCAGCACCAAGGTCACTGGGCAGTTTTAAGCTAATGATGTGACCATAAGTCTAATAAATGTGCTTGGTAATCACAGCAAATGTATTGTCATTGTTGCAGATGTTATTCTTTCAAAAGCACTTGGCAAACAACTAAAACACAGCCCTTGTGTTTGCTTTGACCTCTCCTAAGCATTCACCACCAGGAACATTGAGGAGATGAGATTGTTTAAGAATAAAAGTCATGGCATACAGCTACAGAATTGGTACTGCTCATGGCATTCTTGCAGTTTGCTTAGAATAAGTAGACAAAAGGCTAACTGAACATGAATCAGTGAAATTTTGAGAGAGAGTAGATTTTGGAAAGGAACATATCCATGACTGATACCGACACAGGTAGAGATCCATTTCTTATTACAATGACCTAGGATTGGAGGCAGGACGACATTAATTATGCAGTTGATTTTTGTAGCCATCGTGCTGCAGTAACCCATTACTTGCTGATCCAGTAGCCTTTTCTTATCTTTTAGGAAATACATTAACCAGTAAATGCATTGTGTCATCATGAGCTTTGTCATTATGTGCAGCAATTCCCCACAGGGCTTCTCAAATGCTGCAATTGCTGTTTCTTTGGAATGATATACAATGTCTCCCAGGCTGGGTTCAACAGATGGTTGATATTATGCCCTGAAAAGTGGCAACCTACTGTTCAGAACTGGATGCAGCTCCAGTGTCTTGCACCTTATCATATATATGCACATCTCTATTTTTACATATGTGTATGGATATCATATATTCTTATGTACATCATGTATTCTTATCTGCCAGGCATGAAGAAGCCAAAATGGCCTGACCACTAAATATGCTCTTGACAATAAGGTAAAAAAAGGAAATTTAAAACAGGCATAATTTCTTCAATTCTTTCTTCATTTATACTGATTATTGATAGGAATAAAGATGTGTAATTCAGCCTTACTGTAAAATTTACTTAAGATCCTTCAGTGAATAGAAAACGCCGATATGTGAAGATGGTTTTTTAGCAAGGCACTGAAATAAAGTGGTGGCAGGAGAGGTCTAAGTCAAGACACAGAGCTGTCTTTTCTCATTCTCAAATGACATAAACAACACAGTCAGGAAATGAGGTCACTGTTTTGTATGTAAGCCCTCTGTGGCTTCTAAGCTACAAAAACTAGGAAAATATTACCCTTTTCTCATGGAGCTTTTTCACTAAGAAGCACAGCATGTGCCCAATTCAATGTTTCAGCAGCTTTCTGTGCTCAATTCAGCTTACCAACAGTTAAACCATTCTAGGCCATATTATAACCTATTAGAGATGACATGTGACAAGATGATTTTTGATAAAGATGGGAACTTTGGTACTACGGAAGTGGCCTGGGAGAGGAGGTCTCTGGATGCAACCTGACATTTTGCCAGCAGCTTCTAGCCAGTTATAAAACCATTTTATTGCCCTTGCACAATCAGCCACATGCTATAGTTTCCTCTCACTCAGAATATGTTCAGTTTCATAGCCCCCTGCATTTAGTTGCAATAGAACAGCAAAATGTTTCTATTACAGCTGAGTGCTGCATGCTTTTTTCTGAGGGTGACCTTGAGTATGCCTGGCACACAAGAAGTGCAGTGGAAGGCAGGGGAACACTTTGTCTCCTACACCTCTGCTGTGCTGCCTGTGTCCAACACTTATGCCACCCTTTGAATTACAAGAAAGGACCTATGTAAATGCCCATTTTTGTGTGTGAGTGCACATTCAGAACATTTCATGTGCATGCTATGAAGAACAAGTATCCAAAGTCAGATTAGAAAATGTCACTCTCCAAAACCATAATTATTTTTCCCTTTATGTTCTGAAGATTATTGGTAAGTCTCATGATTTTTTTTAACTCTTTGGGGTGGGAAGCCTGAATTAAAAACAGTATGTGACCCATTACTATTTTATAATCCTTTTCTTTTGCAAGCTGAAAGCAACAGTTTGCCAACCTTGTATTTAAACTTTCATGGAAAAATATGAGGGGGTTAAATAAGAGGGCCCAAGCAAGAGAAAATACAAGAACGCAAGATGGTGCTTGGAAAGCCTGTCCAGAGAGTCAGAAAAAGAGCTTATTACCAAATATACATGGATTAAACTGATCTTAGTTAATATAATAACATTTATTGAACATTTATGAACTAACAGTTTGTGATAGTAACAATAATATTTTTAGATTTAGGAAGAAAACACAAGAAAACATGGTCTAAAACATCACCATGGCTATTCTGACCTTCAGAAAGGAGAGCTGGGTAATAATGAGGAATCTTGTTTCAAAGAAGTAGAAGGACATCTAAGACAGTTTAACCCTCTCAGTCAGCACAGAGACTCCTGAGGGACACCACGCTGGGAGCACAGCACCAGCAGGTACCACTTACTGGAAATCCCTTGGGAACAGGAAAAAGGAAATTGGCACAGAAAAACAGTAAAGCAAGGGAAATTACTGGAATTAAGTTCTTAACATTCAAAATTATGAAGATGTGTCTCAGTGAAGAAAAAGAAGTTACAAATTCTAAGAAAATAAATGTAAAACAATAATTAGATTACCATTTGCTTTTGTAAACGTTGTGGCAAAATTTCAAGGTGTTTATCTTCCCCATAAGTAATTTGACTTGTCTATGACATCAAAAGACAAATTGATGGCTCGATTCACTGCTTCCCCTGTGATTCATATCATGCAGATCAGTATGAGAATGAACATAAAGTGCTGCAGAGTAGAGCCATTTTATACTTGTTTTAGACAGTATGAATGATAATAGGAAATGTAGGACAAAAATGAATCTAACTGTTTCTAAACCATCTTTTCTAAACTCTAAAACTAGTGCAACCATATGAATCTGTCCCCATTCAGACATGAGAATGCCATTAATGGATTGTAAATCAAAGCCCCTGATTTTTATATCCATACCCTGCAGTCACTTGACATGTTTATCTGTGCCTTATTACTCCCTGATAGATTTACTTCCTGATATAGCAGGGCCAAATTTGTAATGTTTACAATTGCTGATCTTCCAAATTCACACAATTCCCACTTACATGCAAATAGATCCTGCCTAGTTACAGCCACAATTTGCTCCAGGGTTGTGCCTCCAATTTGGCCTCTCTGTTCCCATTTTCATAGCTTTGCAGTAAAGAAATGGATAAATGCAGCATTTTTTCCCTAAATGAGCTGTGATTTTTTTAAGGAGTTAGCTAAGTATACATTACTTTTGTTTACTTCTCATGACCTTTAGTCTGAACTAGTTCAGCTGGAATTCAACAAAATTAATTTCAGAATGGTTTGCATAAGAGTTCTTAAAAAAAACCAAACAAATATGATAGCAATGGGAAATATTTTTACTAAAGGCTCTTGCAATTCAGGAAGAGAGTCACTAGCTTGAGGACAAACTGATCGTCTAATTTACCTCTGACCTGAAAAGGATTAGGAATACAATTACTTTTGTGTATTCTTGAGCAGCTTTGCCATACTAAGCTTCTGCATAAGTGCTTGCAGCCATCAGGACCCTCTGTCCCAGAATCACTCACCCTCTGTCTAGGAAGAAAATATTTTGTAAACAAATCACCAAAGTGTTCAAAACAATCAACTGAGAATAATCAAGATCATAAGAATATGCATCGAGAGACACCATAAGACACTGAAGAAATAATCTGCTACCATTTATTTCCCTCACATTTCCATTTATTTAATCTATTTACTTTTCCTAGCTCTTTCTACACCTACCTTCATTTTCTCTACTACTTCATACATAGATTTTTTTCATATAGTGACTGCACCCATCTCAAATTTCTCTTGATGGCTCAATGTTTCTAATACTATATTTTAAAATATCATCTTCTGTATTCTGTGCTTTATTGCCATTATATAAATGTTTGGTTCCCCTAAAACTAAGGGCTGATATAATTATGAAGATTTGCATTTTCTCTGTTCAAATACAGTTCTGCCTTTCAGGAGACATTTTTAAGGGCTGCCTTTGTTTTGTGTGGTGCTTTTCTGCAGTTACAGCAGCAGTGGTTTAATGAAAATTTTAAAATATAAATCTACTGTATATTAGAAACAGTACAATGGTGTTTTGGATACCAGCACCTCTTTAAAAAAAAAAATGAAAAAAGAAAAACCAAGAAAACATTCCTATGTTCCCTCTGTTTTATCAGCCTGTTCTTCAATGCCACAGAACAGGGTCACTCAACCTTCTGTCACAAAAAGAAAAAAATTACCCAAACCCAAACATACAAATTCTGGATATTAATTAGTAATTATATAAGATGGCAAGTTGTTTTTTTAAAAACAAATAAATATGCATTTTTGCTTGATTTACTATGTCCATTAAATATTTACATAATTGCATTCAAGTTACTCTCTAGCATATGTATTATATCATAAATACTCAGAACAGAATATTTTATTTTAATTATAATTTATTTCTTTTTCTTTTTCTTCACTTTTACTACCTTCTCAATACAATTTCTCTTCTTTAAGCTCTGAGATTGTCAAAATACCTTTGTTTTAAGGCCATCTACCAGTTAGTTTAATTTTTTTATTTCATTATCAGCCATTTGGAAAAAAAACAGTAAGTCATAGAATCTAATTTTGCTAATGGAACTTAACTCTAGGCAATCTGAAAATAAGCAAATAAACTCTTTCCCCTCCAACAACTATAAACAGACTGTAAGAAGACTACCAGAAAATGCATCTCAGAAAATTGTTAGAAGTGCAAAAAGTCCATAAAGTAAAGCACATGGGTATGCAATCAGGAGCTGCTGTCCTTCCATAGCCAATGCAGATGTAAAAATTTTGGAGGCTGACAAACTGCACCATCCAATAACAAACAGAGCTAACACAGTTCCTGGGATCCCCCTAGGAGAAAACAAAAAAACACAAAAGAAACATGACAGAGTCCACATATTATTAAATGTAGCAATAATTTTACCACATCTTACCAAACTCAAGTTCATTTCTAGCAGCATGTTGTTGATACTTAAGACCCAATGGAAGAACCAAGAACTAACTGACATAATGAAAGCCAAGCATGAGAGCAAATTAAAATTGTAACCATAAACAAAAAAGTAATTTTTTGCATTCAGCATGGATAAAACCTTCATCAGAAGTACTGCTAAAAGGACTGTACATTTACAAATAAATCTTCTCAGCCTCCAGCAGATGCAGCTGCTAAAGTTTAATATTAGATTTAGCCAAGTTCCTATTTCAGCCAAAATCATTTTACAGAAGATGTTAGGTTCTAAAATGACTCTACAGACCAACTCTTCCATCAGGAAGCCTGATGATCTGGAGAATTGCATTTTTGTAACACAGAGAACAAATTTTAGGTGTGTCTTAGACACTCAGGAGAGGCTCTGGAAGACTCACACCAGCTGGATGGGTAGAAAGGTCTCCCAGGAAAAAGCTTGACTGGCCTTTTAAAAAAGGGAGCACACTGAGCCCAAAGTAAGGAGTGGGAAAAGAACCACCAAGGAAAAATATTTTGCTTATCTTGGCACCCTTCTCTACACACTGAAAGGACCATGACTTTACATCCTACCTCTTGGAGACAGCTGAGCCCTTTTGAAGTCGTGCCCCCTTTCAGGAGCAGGGAGCCTGGAGAGCTGATAATATCGGGACTATAGTTAAAAGCCCACTGAAATACTTCTCCAGATTACAGAGGGCTCACTATTAAGCCCTGTGGGAACAAAATCTTTCCAATAAATAATGTTTAACATATGCTTTATTTGCACTCTATTTGCAGCCTGCTTCTGTAAAATGCATGAGGTCATGTGCATAATACACTGCTGAAGTACATAATGAGAGAGCTGCTTTACACACTTTTGCTGTGTCAGTCTCAAGGACCTTGAGAAAGAATAAACCTCTGCCACTTCCTAAAGGCTTTCCTGGTGCCCCACTCTTCCAAAGCATCAGCATAACAGAAGCAGAAGGGAAAAACAGTCTGTGTATACATAGTCATGTAGGTCCTTTTATCAGAAATTATCTCCACTGATATAATTATTGCAACTAAACCACGATGAATAAAGCTGTCCTTATGTAATTGGCTTAGTTTACCTAATGCCTTCACATCACATAAAACAGTTGATTTCTTAGCAATTGAGTCACCAGGCAATAAGGTACTTGGTGTTGTCAGTTCTTGGGCCTTTGAGGGAGGAAGAAAAGAATTGATTTTATGGTGACTCAGCACCTCATTGCAACTTCAACAAGTTAAAAATAAAACATTAAATGCCATGTGATTTAATATCCTCAGTTTAAGTGTTTTTTAAACCCATACAGTGACATCTAGGGAAATTCCATTGGCTTTGCAAAGCAAGTTCCTGGCCTCTCCTCCAAGAAGAGATGCTAAGTTGCTCACCTAAACAGTGAGCCAGAAATTCAGAGCTGGTACAGATGGTTTTTTGAGCAGGTACCCAGGCTGGCAGAGAGATGGGGTGCAATAGGAACATACTGTGCAATGACAATTTTTAGCTGACATAATGACTCTTTAGGGGGCTATCACAACATGGCACAATTCAGAGCTGTGGCTGCTCTGCTTGCACTGAAATCCAATGGCCTCTCATGGTTTGTTCCAGCTGTGGCAGAGAGCGGGATGGAAAGGTGGCATAAAAATCATATCGGAATCAAGAGGTACCACTGTGCATTTACAAAATCTTCACTCTAAAAATGTGTTACTGCTAAAAATAATGGTATGGCAGAGGGCTTTGTGCCTGGCACGTTCATGAGGGTCAAATCCTCTAGCCTGGGAGAAGGGCCAAAAGCATGTCATGCTTTTAGTGACCAAGAGGACTGGGGCTGTCCTGATGTGAGATTGAGATGGAGGGACATGTGACTGGATCCTTTCCACTTCTCCTTCTCCCACATCCTGCAGATGGTGTCACCAAATGGGTCCTTTGCATCACCTTAGGTCTAAGAACCTCTTTCTTCATGCTCACATTCATTCCTTCATTGTTTAGTTAAGGAAGTAGCTTTACCAGTCTGTTTGGGGATTTGATATTAGAGGATTGTTGCTGCTTCCTGCAGGAAAAAAACTCTATTGATATTTCTCCCAGAAAGATGGCCTAATAAACCTGGGCTCACACATGAAATAGCATAGATAGACACAAACAAATCTAGTTCCATGCAAATTTGAATAAGAGTACTGGTTTTCTCCTTAGTACTATTCACTACCCCAAGTGTTCCATATTTTGCTTTATTTAGTTACAAGGAAATAGCTAATCATGAAAATTGAAAATTATTAGATTACTATGTATCTTTGCCATAGATGAGTGCACTGTCTTATGTATATTATTGGTGAAAAAAAATCAGATTATTTCTTTGAATTTTGAAATAGAAGTAAGGTTTCTGTAAATATTTTTAAAAATCATGAAGGTATTGCTCTTTCTTTTACCATTTGAAATATTTTTTAAATTAAAAATAATGAAATGTACGTTGGATTTAAAAGTTGCCGCTTAATAACATGTTTGCAATAATTAACCTTGGTGTTCGCTGTGTTCAAGCAGTTTCATATACCAAATGAGAAAGGACTGCAGAACCCTGTCAATAGGTATTTAATGTTATCAATACATTTTAGAAATAGCAGTTCAATTTTGTAAAGGCTAACACATTTTAGTACTTAGAGATTTTCAAAATATATGCTTTCTGTAAATTCATAGCGTTTTACAAATGTGTGGTGTGTGCTTGGGGATTCCATGTACAGAAAACAGTACCCTGCACAGTTGTAACAGCTGGTTTGGAATTCACCCCATCTGTCTTACAATTATGTATCTGCACATTTTATTAGGCTGGATTATTAAACAGGTTAATCAAGAAAATATGGGAAGTGTAGGAGAACAGAGAATAAACAGCCTTTTCAGTGTCACTGTCATCCATCTTATCAAGGACAGCTCAGAAAAACTTTAGTACATGGAATATGGTCAGGTTAAACCACCACAGCTCCACAGAAACATGCAACAAGAATTTTGCCAAAACTTCATTCCACCACAGAATTTCCTTTAAAAAACAAACAAACAAACATCAACAACAACAATATATATACGTGCATATGTAAGAATGATGCTTTTCCAAAGCAAACAAACAGGTGCATTTTCTTGTTCATCATCTGCTAGGTTCCATATGTTACAGACTGGAGAGTTAAAAATATGAGAGAACAAAAAAGACTAAGGAGGGAAACCATCATTAATAATATGTTAACAATAGGTAAAAGCACTACTCGAGGCCTTCAGGCAAGATTTAGAACTTGCTTGTACTTTGCTGTGTGTGAACAGGGAGATAAACACTGTGTCTCAAAGGGCTTACTGAATGGCTTGCCAAAAATTTCCTATTCAGAGAATATGACTGAACAACCCCCACTTATGCACAGATACATACACCACTACACATTTGCTTTTTCTAAGTATTCAGTTATTTTCAGGTTTGCAATTGTACCACAATTACACCTCAGAATATACAAGTCTACTATACCTTAAATGCTTGTCCTAATTCTCCACATCATTAAGGGTTACTTGGCTATTTCATTCTGTCACACAGAATTCAGTAAGAAAGGAAACACAAAGATGGGAGGCCTGAGCTATGAACAAAAAAGAAACAAAAGAACCAGCTATACAAACCCAAAATCCAGCAGTTGCTTTTAAAAATGATACCTGAGTTTGGCCACTGTTTGCTCTGCAAAACAAAAATCACAACTGAGGCTGCTACAAAAATCAACAGTACTCTCAGTCCAAGCAGAAAGCAGTGGAATTAAAGACTTGCATCAAAATGAATGTATACCAGCCCTCTCAAATACAGTCCAGTTTTGGCTGTTTCCACTTATACATACAAACAAAATGGTGCTACAATTTCAGAAGCCAAAATTTACCACATGACCACTTAGAGAAGTCCTTCATAGGACTCCTGTGGCCATAGACTGGTACTTACTGCAGGGAGAAGAGAACTGCAGAGGAGGACAGGATGACCATGGGCAGCAGGCAGTAGCCCAGGACACTTGCAACGCAGCCGTGCGAGACTCCCGAGTCGCTCATCAGGTTCAGCAGGGCATGCATGGCAAGGCACCCCATGGCACTCATCCCATACACGTAGCCAAAATGAACTTTTCCTGCCTGGAATAAATATGAGGAAGCCTGAGGTGACAGAAGTGAGCAGTGATCACAAAGTGCTAGCAGAAGACGGATTTAGGTTTAGGTTTGTTTCTTCTTGTTGTTAACACTCTCTCTGCTTTACCTACATCAGTTCAGCTGTGAACCACAGATGATACTTTTGGGTGATTTTTGCATAAAAATAATTTCCAAGGTACAACTGACAAAATGTGCTTGCTGCTAACTTAAAGTTGCAAGATTCTCAGTCTTACTGTCACTGGGCTCTGAACACAACTGGAATTGATTGGGAGATGGGAAAGTTTAACTGGCAACAAACAAAAAAGAAATTATAGAAAGCATATTTTAATCATTAAAAATCAGTTTAGGCTCAGGAAACATCTTTTCAATAAGGGTATATGGGGCAGTGAAAAAGTGTCCTAAGTAGTATGATGACTCAAGTTACCTGATATGCTTCACATTTTATTACAAACCTTCAGCTTTAAACAGGTCTACAAAAAATTAGGAAAATTTTGCTTAAGCTATGGTGGTTTTCAGGGTAAATATGACTGTTCTTCCCCTTGACTACTGTGAGAAAGATACATCTCTGTACTTAGACCAATAGAACATGTTCATTTCAACATAAAACTCAGTAGTAACTGTCAGCTTGTGTTCTTTTTTTGTTCTAACGAATGAAAAAATCCCAGATTTTTTTTTCCTTCTAGGTTTTATTCCTTTGTTTGAATTTATTGCCTATGAAAGGTACCAGCCTGGCAGCCTGGAGCTTGATGTTTTCTAATTTATACACAAAGCTAGTAAAACAGGCTACTGTGGCCACAGCACCACCAATTCCTTCATCTTCTGCCATCATTTTGAAGGATCACCTCCAGGCATAAGGGCATTGCTCACTCCCCAAAATAAACAGTCACAAAAGACTGTTAAATATGTTTTTGTCTCTCTCCAAGCTTCTAGAAAATTAAATACTGAATGTTGGCTATGCAATACTGTCATTTTCACATCTGTACATCAGAAAAATATTCATAAATCAGAAATCTTTTTTTTTTTTTCTTGGAATTTTGTATCCTGATGATAGAATGCACCTATGAAGGGGAAAGCTCAGATCTGGAGCTTAACCATTAGCTCAGAACCATGAAGTAAACTTATCAAATGAAGGGCCATTATGCATCACCTTCCTGACACGTAATAAGGTGCATGTACATACATAAAACAGAAGTGTTTGTTCATACACACCCAATTTACATGTTGCACACACTATGTATTATCTACATATATATATATATATATATTACATATGATAAATCACATAAGACTCTAAACCAACAGATAGTCTCAGTTTCCTAATAATGCTGTGGCTTATGGTTGGATTCTACTGTGTTGGATTTGGGAGAAACTTAGTTGAAGCTTTTATCATATTTTTTGACACTTGCTAGTTTATCTCCCATGATGGCTAAGGAGGATTGAGAACACCTCTGACTTTACTTATTCATACATTTTAATGAAATCTGGGGGAATCAACTTTGAGGAGCCTTCTCTGCCCTCTCTTCCTGTGTCCATGCATGTGGAAATTGATCACTGGATGCCAGTGGTATTTGAGCAGGACAGACAAAAAGCAACACTGTGGAGAAGGCCTCACTTAGTGATGACACAGCTTGGAAGTCCTGCTATTGCAGGCTGGTGGCAGCTCACCAGCTCTTGTTAGAGAGCAGTGCATGAACGTGAAAAGCAACCTGAGTTAATAAGAACTGACATTCTATCAGCAACATTATCCTGTCTGCAGACTGACCTGGCTCACTGCTGAGATCTCCTATGGTCCCAGTCCTCAAGGTTAAGTCAGGTACAGCCAGGTTGCCTACATCCTTCTAGCATAATGGCCTTTCTCCCTATTACTGTCTCCCACATAAAGAATGATCTGTTCCTGAAATAACAGCATAAGAAATCTTCCTATTTAGGTACAGATTCTTTTGCTGGCACATACATACTAGTGGTATAAAATAATCAGGAAAAATTGCTTGAACAAATAAAATTAATGATAGCTAGAGATAGCGTGGGAGAGCAATACTAGCTCAGATGATTATCAACTAGGATTGCAGTCATTAAGGATGTGTAGTAAGTGTAACACCCACAATGGTTTAGAGCAGCCTTTGCTATACACCAGCTAAGTAAAGTTCTGTCTCAAAACAGATGGATCATCCACAATCCATATTTTACTGTTTGTTTCAGTGTATGCAACTGTTCTAAACAGCACTATTTATTTATTACTTAGTATAAGATTAAAAATTCCTGAGACAGAGATGAAGAGAGCACTAGCACCAGCAGCTAGCTGAGATCTATTGGTGAAATGCTGGATTTGTAGTGCAAGGAAATGAGAGAAGAAAAAGTCAAAAAAAACCAGCTGAACATGTTGGTTCTGATTTTAGTCTTACTTAACATATGTAATATATTGACTCACACATGCAGGAATACTCCCAGTTCACAGTGATGTAAGCAGAACCAGAATCAGGCTTGATTAGTCTGACAGGCTTTGATGAATGGAAAGAGCTAAATTTGTCCTGCAGGAGGAGCAAGGTTAGGAGAAAGTCAGACTGTGTTATTGTTTGCATCTGCCTGGATGGTACTACTACCTTTAGCTGAAGCGGATGGGGAAGTCTGATTTCATACAAACGACTGTGTAAAACGCAAAGCAGCTGAGACTTGGACTTCTGCTAAATTTTGTGCTGCCATTGTTTCTCTATCTAAAATGGAGCTGCACTGTTTTACACTAACATGAGGAAGGAAAAGTCCTGCTGCCAGGCTAGCAGCCCTTCCCTCTTTTTCTCTGAAAGAACTGCTACCCTTTGAAGAATATCTTTGCATAATTCTCCATACTTAAAAAGCTGAAACTAAAGAAAATGTATACATTATTTTTAGAAACAAGCTCTCAACCAAATTATGCTCCTGGTGCTATCAGAAGATACTTATTTAAGTACAGAAGGATATCATAGTTTACACAGCTGAAGAGGCACGTTAGGATTCAAATACATCTGAGATAAAATGGTAGCCTGAATTTCTAAGATAAACCCATAGGCTTACTGCTGGGAAGTTATGGAACAAAAACACTGCATTGTGTCAGAGGTGTTCTGCTGCCCTAAAACTGGAGCACTAAAAATACTTGGTCTTCTAATGACACCTAAAATGTGTAAGATCCCAGAAAAAGTAGGATAATTAAAGTAATTTATTTCAATAATAGTAGTTTATTATTCATTATAACTGTTGGCTATTCAGGGAGAAAAATCAACAGGAAACATTTATTTTTCCTTTCTTTTCTTTTAGCTTTCCTTTTACTTTCTTGATTATAATTAATTCAACTCTCTCCTTTTACTACCCTCATACATTTATTTCTCCAGGTGGAAAATAGGCTGTCTTCTCTAGCTTCCCACCTTCTTTTCCTTTTATTCCCTTTCCTCCTGCCCCTTCCACCCTTTTAAAAGATTTTTATTCTTATAGGAACATAAATAATAATACTACTTGTCATTTATATTGCAGTTTGCACATTCAAGGTACTGCACTGACATTACAAACTGAGTAACAACTTTCAGGATTCTTCTGATTCAGCACTATTTATCACAGAGGAAATGGAGAATTAGAGCCCCTTTCCTCCCACCTCAGTGTCAGGGCAATAAAGCCCTTCCCAGAATGGTCCCACCTTATTGCTGTCTGATGGATTGCTGTTGGCAGTCAGAGCTGTACTTCAGCAACACTGGAGAGCCTCTGTTGCCAGTGATGGATAGATAGGTGAATTTGGAGTTCTGTACAGCCCTGTTAACCCTTTCTCCTCTAGGAAAGCTATATTCATAAAGAAGAAGGAGGTCAAATACAGGCTACTATATTTTGTTAAGCAGACAACTTAGAATAAAGAATATAAAACAAGAAATTACTAGCAAAATGTATAGGAAGTTATTGCAGATTTAAGGGTGTGGGGGGAAAAAATAGTTTCCACTTATTTTTTTCTCCTATTATTATAGTTGTATAAAGATTTCTTTTTAGTCTATGTGTCTCTGCACTCTCTAAAATAACATTGAAAGATAATGATTTAAAAAAAGTAGCAAGAGTGTTAGAAAAACAGGACTGTTCTGCTATTCCTTTTTTATTCCCTCCTTTAAAATCTATTCAGAGCCTCTCCAGATTATATATGGCACAGATCTGTCCATTTGTTCATATTAAATCCCACCCCAAAAATGGTGCAGTGTCTTCTTTCCACTGGAAGTAATATATCACTTTGCCTGTGTCACCTTTACATTGCATTTAAATTTTATGCAGGTGCTTTCAAAGTAGGAAGAATTTTTAATACATAATCCCAGAACAACTGGCAGCAAATGACTCTTTTTATGCCAGCACTACATCTTCTGCAACTTCACACTCATTATCACCTAGGCATGAGCTTGTTAGAAAATAAAGCCCTGAAGATTTCTGCTACATCCTACCATCAGCAGTGTTGCTCCAAGGGCCAAACAGAAAACCATAGGTCCAGTGAGGTCTGTCTCATTCATAATGCTGCCATCTGCAGGCTTCATTGGGTTTAGAACAGTTAATGTTTTTTGCCATATATGCTCAAAATTGATCCCAAGTTCTGCAACAAGAAATTTCAGGATTTAGTTATTGCTCACAAGAAAACATCACTTTTACAAAAACACGTTAAACACCACAAATCTGCAAACAAATGCTTCAGATAATATTGTAGGATGACATATTCTGTAGTAGGAACATATTGTCCCTGCATATACTCAGTATATTTGAGAGTCAGCATTCATTCTAAATTGGAATATTTATTGTATCCAATTTCAGACAATGAAACAAAAAATGTCCTCAGCGTTTTTGAGTTAATATTTGTCTTCCCTGTACTTAAAACACACATATCTAATGCCACATTAAGATATTGAAAAACACGTTAATTAACAATAGCTGTGCAATTTAAGATACTCTACAACAATGAGGACAGAGATATATGCTTTAATTCTGGAAAATCTGACAAGAAATGTCTCTTAAGCCTGAACTACCAAAACCAAAAATTACATTTGTCCCTTCAAGGCAAATTCATGCTATTTCATATAGTGCCTTATAAGCTTGGGATTTTGTTGGTGGGGTGGGGTTTTTTGCTTTTTTTTATTGTTGTTTCTTGTGGGGTTTTTTTTGGTTTTTTTGTTTGTTTGTTTGCTTGGCTGTTTTTTTGTTTGTTTGGTTTGGTTTTTTTGTTTGTTTTGTTTTGGTTTTTTTTTGGGGGGGGGTATGTTTGCACTTAAAAATAATTAGTGAGATCCCTGGAAACAGAACAAGATTCTTTCCCATTAAAGGTGATGGGAATCCTGCCCTTAACTTTTCTGGGGAAAAGCTTTATCTTATAACTTCTGGAGAAACTTCAGCTCTCATGAGTAACAACCTTCCCTGAGATTCTCCAGTAAGGACAAAGTTAGGTTCAGATTTGATGCCAGAGTGACTGAGACTGACAATGTGTTAGATCTGTTTGGAAAGCCAAGTCTCCATCTTCTTGAGCTCAGCCAAAACATCATATATATAAAGATATCCTGCATTAAAATGTGTATTTTTGTGGTACACAGATAGGAATATCTCTGAAGCCTTGCGGATCACAAGCAGTTGTACTACAATATCCTTTTCCCAGGGTGAACCACATGGGGAATTAAATGGCTGGAGGTCTTAGAGGTAGAGATGTGGACGTTATCTATATCAGAGTGATCTTGCTGGCTTTAAGGCAGTAGTAGTCCTTTTTCAGTAGTAAAAATTCCAGCTGCCTTCCAATATGCCAAACTAGCAGGCTGAATATGCTTGTTTTACATTATGCTGAAATAATTACAGACAAATTCTCCCTTTTTTTTTTTCTTTCCTTTTATTTTTAATGTAGCACAAGTTTTTTGCTAGCATCAAAATCAGCCACTAGCATTAGAATGGTCAATCATCATAAAGAATGACATTGCTCATATAGTTAAGTGGTCAACTAAAAGAAACTGAAAGAAGCTTTCTCAATTCCTTTTCCATTGAAACAAGGGACTTAGCATCTGAAAACTACGAAATCTATTACTATATATGCAAAAAAAGATGATTATCCATCTTGATTAATTATAGATTTTCCAACATGTATGCAGGGTAAGCACGAGAGTGGGAAACAAATTTGGAAACGTGAATGCAAAACTATTGTTCTGCTGTCATCTAGCGGTGGTACAGTATATCTGCTCTAGGCCATAAGGCTGGATGAATCCATGGCAAATTCAGAGGAGAAGATGCAGGTTTGGGGGTCAAGAGCTTTGGCTGAAGCTCCCACGGTGAGAAGCTCTGTGGCACTTTCTCTAGTGAGTTCCACTGGCACAGAAAAGTTAGAGGCACCCCCAGGAGTCACGCGTGTCTTCCGTGGCATCAGTTTTACCTTCTAGCAAAGGAGGCTCCTCGTCAAATCCATCAGCATAACCGAGCTGAGAAGGAGTGTCGGGGCTGTACGCTGGCTGCAAAATCTGACCCGTGTAGCTCTGAGGGGACAGGAGCATGTCTGATGGGACAAAAGCCCCAGCTGCAGGTTGCTTTTCTGTCTGGCCCCTAGGACAAGAAGCAAAGCACAGCCAAGCTCATAATTACAAAGAAAAAACATCCTAGAGCTAGTCACCACATCTCGGGATTTTGTGAGACACATGACTACAGGGAGATGTCTTAAACATGATTTATTGTTCTTCTACAGTGTCATGAAGGAATGAGTGCATCTTCACCTTATTCACCAGATGTTCTTGGTCAATGGTCACAAGACTACAGGTTAGAAGGTCTTTTAAAAGTTATTTAGCCAATAAACATTTGCCACAAAAGAATGTTTTTATTTTCAGACCAATAACTAGTTATTTTGTTTTATACATCTCTGCCGCAGTGCAGACTTTCTTAACCAATCATATAGTGGCACACAAAACTACTTGTTATATCTTAAACTTCTTATTCCTTTTTACTTAATTTACTTAATTTACTTAATTACTTCTATATCTTAACTTTAAAACCTTAAAACTTGCTACAATCTAACTTAATGTCTTTGTATTTAAACTCTCATTCTTCCTTATGGCTTTAAATTTGGAAGCCTTTTCCAAGGCTCAGGTTGAACCCTGTGTTTATTTCTATGTTTGAGCTTGCATTCATAAGATCTTGAGAACTTTCTATGCCTGGGATTCCTACAACCACCTAATACCTACACTTCACCTATATTCAGTTTGGGGAGCCTGGAGATTTTCTGGGTACAATCCCCGCTGTGGGTAAGGAGTGTGGAGCTGCTGGCCCTGCCTTGACCGTCCTGCAGCAACCTCTGCAGCCTGGCAGAGCTCCTTGCCAGCCTGCCAGAACGCTGGGGACCACCACATCCACTTCCAGATTCAGGCACTTCTGAATTTTTTGCCCAGCAAACTGGTGATACTCCTCAGATACTTCCATACTGCTAATGAAAGAACCACAGATTTAGACTTTTTTGCCTTGAATTTCAGAAGGATCCTGAAGAACTTCCTGCAATATTGCACCCTAAATTTCACGTTAATAACATGAAGCTCAGTTACTCCTGCCAGGTAAACAACCTGTAGCACCTGTACTAATAAAAGTAGCACAAAATCAAATCCTTTAAAAGGAAAAATTCACTTATAAACATCCTGCCTTTCTGAATGTCTAGATGATGTCTTGAAATTCTTTTCTCCTCCTACAAGCCCCAAAGCCAGCCCCAGAACTACCATCTGTTGAAGAGGGAAGCTGAAATAACACCTGTACTTACTTTCTGCTTTCACAGAAGTTTTTGTCTGAGCCATAGCTGTTGCAACCTTCCTCTTGGTCCTCTATGGTATAATTAGACTGGTAAAAGTCCAAGTGAAACTGCTCAAAATTTGACATTCTGGTTGGAAAAATGATTGCAAATATCAATAAACAGCCTTTATAACAAGCCAAAATCTATGTTTTGAAGTATCCTAAACTTAAATTAAAATAGCAAAGTGTAAAGCCACAAACTCAAGAGAATATTTCTCTAGAAGTTCATGATAATTTGGAAGTAACAAAAAGAAGACCATTCACTTTCTTTAGCTGTAACAAGAGGAATTAATCTGCTGTTACTGTAAATTACAATATATTAATTTAAAAGTGGTATGCAGGATTTCTTTTCTTGTTATTGTTACCAAAAATAATGCAATTTTGAAAGATTTATATCTATAAAGCAAACTATTGTTTTAAACAGTTAATTTTCCTACTTTCAATAAAAAAAAAAATTGTGATCATATCTCAATATTTAGAAATTAAGGTTTTAAGAAGTATTTTGGATTTCAAAAGCAATTACTATTCACAGCTCTTTATAGTTTGCATTATATATATGACTCTCATAAAACAAGAGAAAAAAACAGATTTGTCCGCAAAATCTATGATTTCTCTTCAAGGACACAGCTGGCACATCAGTGGTAGCAGAGAAACATTCTGACTGGTAAAAGACAGTATACTGGATGATTAAATTGGATTGATGACTGGATGACTCTTTGGTGAAAGAAAACATGTTAAAGCATACCTTTCCTTCCCACTGCACGTGTTTCACCACTTGGCTAGCACTTAGGCAGTTAAAACCCATAGAGAAGTTACATAACCTGACTTGATAACCATAGCCATATCCAATTCACTTAGATTTTCATGTGAGATAGTCATCTCTCTTAACATTTCCCATTTTTTTCACTTTTGTCCTCATTTCCAACTTTCCAAATGCCATTGGCAAAATATGCTTTGGACCTTGCAGTTATTCTTAGAGTTATCTCAGTATTTATCAAGCACACTCTGCTTGTGGGAAAGATCTTTGCAAATCTCTTTGTAAGATAAAAGTAATAAAGATCAGTATTTCATCAGGGACCTTGAAATGCTGCATATTAGAGTTTCTGATTTTTTTTCCCATTATCAGACTAATCTTTGGGGATCTATTTCCTTATTTTGCCTAGAGTTCAAAGTAGAAATTACTCATATTATTTTCTTAACTGCTGATCAATTGTGCAGGTTTTCCAAATTTAGAAGAGGAATAATTTTTACATTTTAAATAGTAATTAATAGAAATTAATTGTACCAAGCTGTTTACTGTGGCTTTATTTGGAATTGCACACCACTTAGGCATTCATTCAAAGAAGATTTCACACTGAGCATGATTTAAGAAACTAGTTAGTAGCTCAACCTCAGTAGTTGAATTCTAGTAAGTATTTAATGTCCTTTGCTGTCAGTATACAAACTGAAATAATTCCTTTACCAGGTATGGTTAACTGTATAACAGAGTTCAGAAAAGATAAATTTATTTTCCAAAAGAATCTGGAGTTAAGGTTACTTACTTTTTAAGATATTTGGTGAAAACTCCAGTCTGTTGAATTTACATGTTGGAGAAGACCTAAAATATCCTCTTGCTTCAACAGGGATGAGCTTAGTGCTATTTATAAGATTCTAAATTTGATATTTGAACAGATGCACATGAAGGAAAAAAACCTCACAACCTGTCAATATCAGGGCTAGCATTTAACAAGAGCTGACAATGGGCAGAGAAGGGTAGGAACCTTCGAGGAAAAATCAACAAAATGAACAAATATTGTTCCATATCTTACAACTCAATAATCTAGATTCCTCCTTAAGTAGGTGTTTATGAAGACCTTGGCAGAGCCCTCATTAGCTGAGCTGTTGGACATTAAAAAGCTTTAACAACGTGCAATATTACCTGTTAAATTGGTGGGGGTGAGGGTGTGTTTCCAGCAGCCAGATGCTGTGGGATGCTCCCTGGCAGCATCGTGGCAGAGGGAGGGAGGAAATTAGGCTGAATGCCCTGCTGGGCCAAGTCTCTCTGCTGGTCCAGCGCCAGGGCTCTGTTCTCCAGGCACATCCCCCTGCTCCATTGCTCCTCCAGGAGCTCTTGGCCATTTCCAAAACTGTCCCTTGAAGTGCAGTACTCACCATGCCAGGACCAGGCCAAGGCACCTCTGTTCCGTAGCCCTGGCTACCAGGTAACAGTAGCACAGTATGGATTTTTAAACAGATTTTAAGCTTCAAAGATGACTTTTCAATTTACACCTGCTTTTGTTTGACATACTTTACTAGCCACAACAAAGGCTGTTTTGTCACTTCTTTATTTATTGGATAGTTTCTCAATAAGCACTTGGGCTGTTAAATTTAAGGAATGGGACATTAAATTATATGTATTATCAGGTAATAAATCTATGCCTCAGGTGCATATTCAATCCTGTGATGTTGAAAACACATAATTCCATTTCATTAGCAGAACAATGATGCACTGTTAAGCACATGGCTTACAATGCTATAGAAGAGTTATAACATAGGTGCATTTTAAAATAACTTAAAATTAAGTTTATCAAGTTTTTGCTCAGTATGTCCAAGAAAGAATTCAGAAGTAAAGAATAGTGAGAAGAAGAAAAATGTAGCATTTGATTCTGCAAATTAGGGGTAATCTAACCCCAGTATTTGGGGTTACAAATCACAGCTATTGTTAAGTCTCCCTCATGTTCTGTTATTTCTAGAGTAACAGTCCATGCTGCTACATCCACTAAGGTGAATTTTCATTTTCAACTCTTAGCAAAATGCTGATCTCTATAATGTCTAAGAATCTCCATATAGATTATATGGTTTCATCTTGTTTATACCAAATCAGAGGGGGCAATGATAAAAGATTAACTTCTGACCCTCAGGAAGATAATTCAAAAAATTCTTTTTAGGAACAGAAAAATCCTGATTTACTAGGGTTTTGCCTGTTTATTTAAACTATAAAAGTGATTTGATTACTTTTGCTACTTTCTGTTAGAAATACAAATATATATGCATCTAATACAAAAACTGGGAATAATTACCAGACAAAAAAATGTCAGAGAAGGAATTCAAGTAGAAAAAAATACAATGAATAGTAGTGGAACACAGCCAAATAATACTTTAATAGCCATTTGATATACCACAGTTAGACAAGAAAGCCACCTGTAAATTGAAAAAAAGAAAAAAGGAAAGAAATGGAACTTAAAATTGAGCCATATTTATTTCTCTCTTTATATAATATTATTATATACCTTATGATACATATTATACATAAATTGTACACATATATTACATTACTCTCCCAGTGTACATATACATATAAATGGACACATAAAATACAAAAATGGAAAGTAGTGTTAGTTAGGAATAAGAAGTAGATAATCAAAAAATATAAAGAAGTTAAGTTTAAGTGGTTGATAGGGAAGTGACTGATGGAAATAAGAACTGCCCAGGTGCATTAAAAGTAGATGAAATCATAGTGCTACTGCCATGCTCCTACCAAATGTAAAAATAAAAGTATCAATAAAACAAAAACCAGAAGCATTTCATTAGAAATGCTAAAATCACCATTTTAAAATTCTGCATCTAAAAATTTTAGAAGAAATGGTTAAAAACTTTATATTTTGTTGAGTAACAAAACAACAGTAAAGTTTAGGAAGATCAAAACTAAGTAAGCATGCTATCTTGTAAAATGCTAGATAAGATACCTTGAGTAATTATTGACCTGTTCCCATGAGATTGATCCTAGCAAATGATGGGCTCAAATAATAACTAACTGCATTGATGAATCCAATCAATGTGGGCTTTTGGAAACTAGCTCATTTCAAAGTAATTAATTTCCTAACAAGATCTGTAGTTGGGAAAGGTAACTACTGATGACACATATTTATCCAAGGCCTTTTACTTTATTTTGGCTCAATAGATATATAAGCATCACTGCTTTGTGTGACAGCTGCTATACTGATTAAATAAGTGCTACCTGATGTGTCTCAAATGTAATTGTGAAAGAGGGGAGGATTTCCATTGATGCTTTACAGCACAGAAGCTTTGCAAAGATCATCTAGGAGACATTACAGGTATGTCACTGGTACCTGATGTACAATCCATCACTGGGAGACCACACTAGACAAGGCTGTCACAGGTGCATTAACATAAAGGAAAACTAAATTATTGCATTTGAAGGCTTTAGAACTCAGTTTGAATATAACTTTACTTTCTTTGAATTGCAGCTACAGAGGATGCTAATAATCTAGGACAGATAGTTTGGATGAGGCCTAATCCTCAAAGATGAAAATGAGACTTGAAGCTGCGGGATACAAAAAAAAAAAAAAAGAAGAAAATTGATGAAAAATGTGAGAATTTCTACAAGAAATTCAAAACTTTTCCTTAAAGTTATCTCTTAGGCTTTTGTTTACCCACTTTTTTCCATCTTTCCTGAAAAGGAAAATAGATGCAGCAAGAAGTAAAATGTCATCAGATTTCAAAAGTTTACCTTTTCATTTTCAGTTTTTCTTTCTATGAAATGGGGTGATACTTCAACTTTTCTTTGAACTCTCAGGTGAGCCTTTTTTGAAGAAAAAAAATAGAATTAAATGAGTTAAAGGAAGGACTATAGAACTCTGTCTTTAGACTCAGCTATGTAACCCTACATTTATTACTCAAACTGATGAGTATGGCAAATCCATTATAATAATTAGTCAATTATTCTATAGTTTTTTGAAATGTAAAAATTGATCTCATTAAGGATTAATTCAGCAAGCCTTAAGTTTAATTACTTACATTTACAGGCCCCATTAATAATTTTATAAGTGGACATTATTAAAATGTGCTCCTAAAGAAAAGAGGAAAATTTAATTGCAAAGAAATATACCATTTGCTATGAAATAGGGTTTTTTTACCAAATTAATTACTTACATTATATAAAATAGCTGCTTAGTGAATTTTATGTCTCAGACACATCTATTGCAAGAGATGAATTCTTTCCTGTAACCAGTTTTCAGAGGTTGGATAAGATGAAATGAAAAAAAAAGTGAAATCTTAAGCTATTAGTATTTTCTTTTTTATGCTTAAGAAGTTTCCTAGACTTGAACAAACAAGTGAGAATTTACGGGTTCTTGCATGAATAATTGTATCTATCAATGCCCATTACAAATCAAACACACAATTATCCTGTTTGTCATTATTAGGAAAAGACAATAAAACATCATTATATCACTGCATGTGTCTGTGATTCACTGACAAGTAGAATATTGCAAGTATTTCTAGCTGTGCTCCCTCAGAAGGTATTTGGAAGGCAGGTGACATGCAGAGAAAAGAGCAGGGGAGGTGTGTGTGGAACAGGCTCCATGTAACAACAACCCGGTCAAGTTCTCAGGCTGGAGAAGCAATGATTAATATTGAAATAAATATTAATTTAAGAAATAATAAAGACTTTCTTTCTTCTGTAAAAGAAACAAAATTCACTAGGTGTTCAAAATTAGGAAAAAAAAACGGTTCATGGGTGATAGACTGGTGGAAATCCATGTCAAGGGAAGTTATGCATATTAAATATCTATATGAATCTGGAACAAGTCCATGAAAGTTAAAACAACCAAGAATTACTGAATGCACAGAAACAGTACACAGCTCAAGAAGCCAATAAACAAGAATTAGTAGAAGACTAGAAAAACATTTGTGGGAAGAATTAATGATCATCCTTGTGAATTCAAGCATTGCCATCATTAGAAAGGGAGTTCCTGTTTTGACTTATATTATCATTCAAATCCTTTATGTTTGTGAAAGAGGAAAGCAACACAAAAGATTACAGATTCAAATCTAAGAAAAGGGAAGGAACTTACTGCATAAGACTATAACATTCTTAATTCTACATGGGCTGGATTTGTTGACTTCCAACAGTTACCAAAACACTGCTTTGTATGACTTCAGTGATACTTTTCCTTCCACTCAGCTTTTACTTCTGACTGGAGTCCTTGTTCTCCCACCTCTGCTGTGAGTGAGCTAACTTCCAGTTTCAGATTCATTATATATATCTTCCCCATCCAGTCTCCTTTTCTATCAGAGGCATCAAAAACCAAAAACGAAAAATCAAAACCAAACTAACTAACAAAACCAGAAAAAACAAACAAGCAAACAAACAAAAAATCTTCTACTTTTCATGGGCCTCTTGAAGTCAAAAAAAATCCTGCAACACTGTATCCTGCAAAAACATAATTATTATTCCAAAATTGAACTGGGAACAGGAGATATGGCAACACTTAAGAAAAAAAGTTTCTTCTCTGTGGAGGTCAGAAAGCTCCTAAGGGCAACTGTAATTATTTCTTTAGAATAAGCAGATACACACTGTGTAAACTACAAAGGTTTCAAAAGTGGAGTTACAGCATTTTTGGTCAATAATCTATGGATTACAAATTGCCTGAAGGGAATGTTAACCCCATAAAATGAGTTTCACTTTTTTGTAAAAACACATAAATGAATTTGGCAACCTTAAAGGGCTTCTCAGGCAAAATTTCAGCTTCTTGTCTGTGCCCAGAGTAATTATGTCCATACCAATATAGCCAGGCTTGGAGCCAGATGAAGAGCAGAAAAAGATGTTGGTGATTTATAAATTTGCAGTACACCTGTGGATATATGTGCTGCTTCATTTGATTTTACCTATGTAGTGGTCTCATAGGACATAAATGTTAAACTAAGAGAAACCCATTGATTAAAAGCCTTTGTTGCCTGTTTCTATTTTGCTCTGACAGAAGGGAAGGAAAAGGAATAGGAAATAAATCCAAATCTTGGAAATAAAACTAAATCACCAGAGAAACATTAACTATTAATTAAACTGGGCATCCTGTTGAATTTCTATTTGGCTGAATATATTTTGACCTTGGCCAGAAAACAGACAGATGCCACACATATCCCACAGGCTACTAATAGGAAGGAAGGAGATAGAGTTTACACAGGGTCTATTCCCTTGAGCAGCCAAATTTGTCATTGCAGGTGGGGCCCACCTGGGCCCAGCCCAGTTTGAATAGGAAAAAGATATATGAGCCACATTAGTTTAGAAGCAGATTCCACATACTCTTAGAATGCTGGATGCCAAAATGGAGTGGCAGGGATCTGTGAACCCAGGATTCATCCTAGCCAAGGTCATTCAGGGTGCAGGCTTGTTATGATGACAGAGTGTACACTCAGTTGTAATCCAAGGAAAGGATTAGTGCCACAGTCTGTGATTAAAGACCTTATATAAAGACCTTGCTGCTTACAAATTTGCAAAGTCTTAAGTATCTGGGATGAGACTCCCCATGTGTTTTATTTTCAAGGTGATCTAAATTCAGTGAAAAAAAAATGTTCACTGTTTTCTGAGAAAAATTTTAGAAATAACTAAAAATAAAGTATGGTTTATAAAATTAAAAGTATTTGATCAAGAATGCAAATGAATGAACAGTAAAATTCAAATTATATTTGTATGTAGGATCTCACTCCTAATGTTTTCAGACTTCATAGATAGCATTTCCTTAGCCAAGGTTTTATGTATTGTTACTCTATATTACAGTAGCCATTGTAAGATAGAGATACAGAAACAAGAAGAAATTTACTGGCTAAAAGCCAACAGCAGACATTCCACCAACATGGAGCCAAGGTAATTTTTCCCTCTCAACTACAACTATAGGTGTAGAAACATGTGAGTCAAAATTCAAAAAGGTGAATTGTTTTTGTAAATGCTTATTAAAATTATTGCTCTCTACTGTTATCTTTATTTTACCATTAAGATAATGGTAAAAAGAAAAGAAAAATAACAATTCTGCTGAAATAACTAAGAAAGGAAAAAATGTAAACGTTGATAAGATTTACTAAAGTGCTTGTTTACTCCTTTTAAAGTTCCTTTCTGAAAGATAAAAAGGAAAATACTCTCATATATTGTACTATTAAGCAATTCTTATTTATCGATACAGAATGAAGA